AGTATCTCCATTTACAGAAAAAATCATTTTTAGAGTACAGTATTTTTTTAAACAGTTTTTTTTCAGCAAAATAAAGAAATCGAAATCAGTGAGCCTTAAAACATAGTACGTTTAACTCTTGGGAAATTTTCTTTTTCCTAGACAATTGACAGCTGTCAGCTGCCAAAGTTTTAATTTGACATACAATTCTGGACTAGGTCCGAGCGTCACTCTAGAACGGATCATCATTAAACTGTCTTTTTTGCAGTGATTTTCAAGGAAATCTGTAATCGTAAGAGTGAAATTAAAATGGTTTCTAAGGTCCAAATTGTGTGTATATTAAAAAATTATGTAGGTTAGAGTGCGTCATACATTCTTAGGAGTTCCATTTACAGTTGCTGGATATGAAAATGATATAATGGAATTTCGATCAAAAATTCAAAATTAGAACATTTGGCGTTTACATTACTTCGGATCAGAAGATAAGACATTAGTTGTGTTTTTTCACCTACTTTCCAGTAAGATCCATTAAAAATTGTTACGAATTTTCATGTTTTGGCGTTTTCGTACGCAAAAACTTGCAAAGTAAGGGAAATTGATAGAGCGAAAATGACAGCTGTAGTTGCAAGTTTTTACCGAATTTTTACTGGATAAATGTTTACTTGTAACAATTTGCCAGTACGAAAAACAGCTGATTGGATGTTGCTGGATGCAATTGAAACTCATTTTATTAGCCAGTAACGAAATTCGGAGAATAAGAAAGAGAGCAACTTACAATGTTTAGTGCAAACAGGAATTTGCAAGCTTCACTGCCAACTGGCCTCGGCGGTTGCATTTCAAACATAATTATTTTTTTTTTAATCTTTTTTTTTAATATATTGGAAAACAAAACAGGACCTACATATACGTATATTTCTTCTATTCTGACTTTCTTCAACATACGGTTGAATTTGTTTGTTGTAGTCACTGTCGGATTTCCTATACCGACAGTGGTGTCGACTGCGTTCCGATTACGAATACAGTTATTTCAGCCGAGTACCTTTTAAATCGTTGGAATTAATTAAATTAATTGAATAAGCAAATATTTACGTACTTCTTTCATTAGTGAATCGCGGCAAGATTGTAAATGTAACGAACTTGTTGATTCAAAATATTTTGACAAAAATGCAACCGTGTGCAAAAAAAATTTTCCCAGCATGAATTTGCAACTTCCCCTTCAATTGAAATGTCAAAATTGGGTTCTCTCCTTGCAAGTTTTACAAGTTTTTTGTTCAAACGAACGCGATTTGGTAACAATTGGTACCAGTTTTTTGCATATCGAACAAAACTACCAATAAGGAAACTGTTTGTGGGGTTTTTATAGTTGAAATTGACAAAATAAACCTACTTAAATATTAAATATATTATTTTATTATGAAGTTACTACGAATAAACAACTTGCAAATTATTACTGGATTCGCGTTCACGTACTTCTTTTGCATATTTTTTCTATGAGAGCCAATTCTTAGAAATTAAGTTACTGGAGAGTTGCTGGAAAGTTACTGGATAATTTCTACATGAACAAACCTATTGGTTGACACAATCGAAATTCACAAAGAATGGCGATTAGCCGGGCAAAGAAGGATAACTTTAATTTGTACATCATATAGGTACGTAACTGTAATATTTAGATATAAAATGTAGAGATTATTAGGGATAAAACAAAAAACCGTTTTCAATTAAGGCAGGTAAAATTTAGGCAACCTCACAAACGACGTTATGTACATACATACTATGGATATACGAATGTATGAGCGAACAAAAATCAGTTAGGTATAGCTACGGTGACCATATTTATGAGAGCCGAATACGGGACAAAAAATTTTTTGCAAATTTTCTCCCCTTAATTATTAAATAAAAAATCCGTTAAATTATAGTATAATAAAGTGCTATTTTAAGTCGCTAAGGCTTACCATTAATTTTTGGCAATTTTTTTTTGGTTGACGCATTTTTTTCATACAAAGTATGTAAGTATGTTCGACCGTTTTTTTTTTTTTGAAACAGAAGCAAATGAGCAGCACTTTCCACAAAGTTACAAAACTGATAACCAAATTTTTTTCTAAGATTCTAATTAAAAAGTTTGAAATTTCGGTGAAACACTGCAGAATTAATTTTTATAGTTTTTTTCACAAAGTTTGAAATTTGGTATTATATGGTTTTTGTTGGGAAAAGAGCTTTACTTTCATAAAATTAATAATAAACCTTAAATAAACTATGGAAAAATAACCAAAACTTATTAAAATATCAAGTCCTAATTTCTATTTTGATCACTGTATGTATTCCACGATTCGAATCACAGGCATTCGAAATAGAAAATAATAACTGTTTATGGAGAAAATTACGATCATATATCAACTTCACTTAAAACTCGTTCAAGGCATGCCATTTAAATGAGCTGTTGAGGCGTCGAAACACCGAATACGGGACAAATACAGGGCATTAAAAGAAATACACAACATTTCGCGTCCCGTATAAAATAAATACATTACCAGGACAATGGGTCAAAAAAGATGACTGTCCCGTATAATACAGGACAGATGGTCACCGTAGTTATAGCCATAGTGCGACTAATAGTTTTTTTTTTTTGCCCGACAAAGCACGCCTTTCACTTTTTATGCCATGCACGTTTCATGAAAATAACGAAACGTAATAAAAAAAATTACTGGAAATAAAAAACAAAAAACGAAGACAACCACGAAATAAGAACAAAATTACTAGTTAAAAGAACCAATTTATGGAAGCAAAATATAAAAGAAAATTAAAGTTTTAAAGTATGAAAAGATATAATCATATAATATATTAAATAAAACAAAATGAGAAAATACGAGAAACACCAAAAGCAAAAAAAATTAACACTAAGCTGAATATATATTGTTATGCAATTAATATATATTTTGTTATGCAATTAAGTACGACGTTGTCTCTCTTCTGGTTGATCAAGGGAACTTTTCGTTTTTTTTTTTTAATACAGAGAATATCTACACTCTAAAAAGAGCATGTAAAACTACTACTGAAAAGTGGTTATTTTTCAACCAGAATCTGTTCAAGTATACGCACAAGATGTTCAAGATTTGGTTTTGAACATGAGTTGTTTGAAATACACACATGAAATGTTTAAAATTACAAACATTTTGAAAGTAAAAATATATTTTTTACAAATAATAAATACTAAGTGCCAGGGGTGCACGCAGGAATATATTTTTGGGGGGAAAGGGTTTATACAGTATGAAATAAATAAATAAACTTTTTAAAGTATCATCAATTGCATTTTATTTATATAAAATTTACAAAGAACTCAGACTATTTAAAACCGGCTTAAAAAAGGGGAGGTTATCAATTCTTCGGAGTAATTTTACTTCTTTAATTTATTCCACCGCATAACTTTGCACCGCGTGAACCGATTCCAATAATTATTTTTTTTTTACAGGAAAGATGGTTTAGATCCGATCATTAAATCATGAAAAAATTAACAGTTAAAGATGCACTCAACTTTCAAAAGTAATACAAAGTTTTACAAAAGAATTCTAATATAAATAAATTAAATAACTTAACTAAATTTTTACACTTTTTTTATTCATTTTCGTCGATTTCTGGTTTCTAATTTTTTAATACTTCGAATAACGAAAATTTAACTGAACTTGTATTTTTATCATGTAGCTCATTTTGGTGGAACGAATTCGAAGTTAGCAAATTAAATCTTCGAATGCTTATTAAGTACATATCAGTGGTAAACATTTTTAGCCTGTAAAGTGTAAAAACCAACAGTAAGTGAGTATGCATTGCATATTTTTAGAACAATGCTTTCATTCGCAGTTAAACTTTAAAGAGCTCTCAAGAAAAAAGAAAAATTCTTACAAAATGACGCATTAGAAATGGAAAAGAAAATTTTTTCTATCAAAATTTCTTATATCATAATAAATTTACCCCCAAAACCCATCCCTTGTGTGCGCTTCGTGACAAATTTGATATGTAAAAGTAAACAGACAGTGTTTAATTTTGCATACACTAGGAGAGGAAACTGGTTACCTCTATTTATATGCGTAAATTTAAACGAAAATTTTTTAGAGGAAATTTTAAACATTTTATGTGTAAACTGTGAAAATGTGAACAATAAATGTTTAAAACTCAAAAAACAAATTTGAAATTTGTTCTACGCCACACATATGATAAGTAAAAGTAAGCAAGCAGTGTTTAAATTTGCATTCATTAAGAGAGGAAACTGGTTACCTATCTTAATATGCGCAAATTTAAACAAAAATTTTGTAGAGTGTACATAAGTAAATGACTCACTATTTCCATTTTATTCTTCATTTTTTAGTAAAATCGTTTATAAATACAATAATTTATGCATACATTTTCGCATTCGGATCATACTTACTACTAACTACTTAGCTTAAATATACAACACTTTTTGGACTAGTCTGTGCACACCCGCCACCCGGAACATTTTTTTTTTTTACAACTCTGAACTACTTGTGATGGTATAGAATAGGTAAATACATACGTTTTCTCATCTAACCTTTAGATTACCGGCTACTTTATCGCCTCGATATACGAGTTTTCGTTTCCTCATAAGCGTACATATTAATTTCTCGAATCGATAAACTGTTGCTCACCCAGTAC